GATGGATTATCTCAGTTGTTCTCCTGGCTGAAGTTTGGTCCTTTTACAGCATCCTGCCATGCGATTACATTTGTTCCTGACCACCGAGAAAACTCACGTTAACTTTTATCGAGTTGTCATAAATGAGTCTCCAATAACACCAGAAAAAGTCGCCAGATTTGTCGCTAGTCGCTTTTTAGAAAAAAAGTCGCTATGGGGGTCTGAAAACTCGCTAAATATAGCGACAAAGTTGGCAACACTACCTCACCCTATAGGTCCTAAACAAGTAGATCAAATCACCGGTTAGACACACATACAGAAATTCTTTGATTTACTAGTGAGGGATTATTAGGCTAATGGATAGACTAATTTATGGATAGCTCTCTAATAATACATTCAGTATTCCAGATAAAAGGATGAGGAGTGGAAATGAATTCTGTTATTTTGAGGTAACTAGTTAAACATTATTGCTATAAATGCTGTGCATACTTTTTAAACTGTTTGATGTGTATTTTCACTCAAGGAAGAAACAAACTACTTCCACATAACTCAAAGGATCGATGATTTTTTAGTGGACTGTAGCATACTCAGGCAGTTTGGCAGTGGACCCACTACGGAACTTGAACCCCATTTCTTCTCAAGCTGTGATCAAATGAAAGCATTTGCTTGTTGACAAGCTAATTAGCACAGAGTATGACTGCCACTCCAGGATCCTGCTAGTAGCTGCATGTAGTCTTAAAGAGATTGGATGGTCTTGGCTGGGTTCACTTCCTCTTTGATGGGTTGTGTTTGAGCCTTGCCAAAGCAGGTAATGATACTACACTGGCAGTCACAGAGCACACTGCTGAGCGTGTTCCCCTCAGGTCTCCGCATTGCCAAAGATAAAAATTCAAGACATGTAAAGGTCTTTAGTGAGGTAAAACTCTATTTTTTGATGTATACATGCTTACATTTAGCTTGGAGGCTTAAAAAGTACAAACGTGTCAGGCAAGGATCACACCTGGATGATTTAATGTTCCAAATATACAGACAGGGAGAAAATTCAAAAGCAAGTTTAGGCTCATACCCTTGAGGCATTCATTATGACACGGAACTATGCACAAGTACATAGTTATTCACTCGACTTTCGCTGACCTGCTATTATATTTCAGTAAAAATAAGTTGCATTTGACCTTTTTTTTTTTGCATTGTGTGTGATATTTAACAAACTTTCAAAGGTTAAAGTAGCAGTGGCCTTATCTACCAGTGCCTCATTGTGGTCAGGCCTGTGTTTTAGTTTTGTCTTCTGAGCAGCAGAGACTTGGCAGGGTACTTTCTTCAGAGGAAGGAGGTCACAAGTCTGCTCACAGTGTCAAGAGTATGTGCTGTGTGGTTTGGAATAAGAGATCGCGTGGTGCTTATTGAATGTGCCTTACAATTTGGCATTGCAAGATAATTGGACCAGGCTGCTGATCAGCAGAAAGTCAGGCTCAGAGGTAGTCTTCCACTTCCTCAGTCGATTAAAGACATGGAACATATAGGAAGCAAAGAGACATACTGGGTGATGCATTTGATAGTCTAACACAATAAATGTAAGGTAAACCTGTAAGGAAAGAGCTAAATGATGGTGGTAATAAAAAAATATATATAACAAACAATGACAGAGGGAGACGATGTGTGTCTTACTTGCCCTGTCGGGCAAACGAGCCAGACGATAGAGAGCATTCCTGGTTATTTTCCAGAGATAAAATTGCAGTACAGAGGAGTGGAAAGACTTAAAACACAGCACTGCAGGGAGATGAGCTCACTCATTTTCCCCTTGTAGGCCTCTGGCTCAACTTCATATGCTCTCACAAGTACACACACACACACACACACACAGATATAAACTGAATCATGACGCAGATTTACAAGCTCTGCACAGCAATAAACGCAGACAATTCGGATTAAATAACGTTTGGCATCCTGTACATGCATGTGCGTAAAGAAGTGTGAAAGATAAATAATGACTATTATGATCATATCCATTGTTCAGTGCTTGAACGCAATCCAGTATCCCACTGCTTTCTTAACTCCCCCTTGCAGAACACAGTTAAACAATCAGTGCTCGAACTACAAACTAGGCCAGCAGTCACATTCTGAATGACCCCTTGAAACGTCAAGTTCACTGGATGCACAAACAGGCTCGATTTTATAAGGTGATCAGCAATGGATACTCCCTAATGTGGTGCTTTAATGATGGTACAGTGTATAACACATCTGTTTAAAATCCTCCTTATGTGTCCAGTATCTGTTGAATGTGCAAAGCATACAGTTCACATTCACATTTATGTGCTAAAAATTAGTTTGCATCACAGGATTAAGGGGACCACTCAGAATATCTCAGCACTGATTTTAAGGACCTACAGTAAACCAGCAAAATAATCCCAACACAGTAAAAATCACAAAGGAGGGAAACGAGATAAAGGCAGCAACTAAAAACACGGTAAGTAGGCACGGCACAAGCAAGAAAGCACAATGCAGGTACAGACAGAGGGAGCTACAACCATCCATACATAACTCATGTGCTTCAGACTGGATACTGTCAATACTTTATGATGAAGAATGTCAGCATTTTGACTTTAACTATGTGGACTAGACAGCTGGTTAGACTCTAGTACTCCAGCTTGACTCTTCAACACTAGTTTTACTTAAATCTGCTTTCCTGCTGCAATGTCAGGAAATTACCAGCAAGCAGTGATTTGGACGACACGGAGGAATTGTGTGTGTGCGTATGTGACGCTTGCTGGGACTAAGTATTATTGCTGCACTTGAAAAAGCACTTTCTTTCAACCACTGGAAGGAAGGACTCAGGGGAACTGCGAGCTGACTCAGTCTCATCTAAAATGCTCCGACTAGGGCCTCCCAAGGGGGTCCCACTCCTCCACAAAGTTCCCTTCAGAGCTCAGCCAACTATGGAGGATTGCTCGGCCCCCCAAGTGATATAGCAGATCCGGCCCCGAGAAAATACTAGCAGTGCGATAAGGGAGCAAGGCAGTTGAAAGCAAAAGAAAGAAAGAAAGAAAGAAAGAAAGGAGAAAATACATTTCTTCACTCTTGCTTGTTTTCTGGGGTTTCTGTGTCCTTCTCGCACACTTTATACTCATGGTAACACATGCACGTTCTCCCCGACACCGACAAACAGTCAAGCTAGCGTTTCATCATGCAGACATGTTTCTTCTATACAACTACACAACCTCAAATGACTGACGGATCATAAAGAGGAACAAAACCGCACATGGTAAACACACACGCCTCTTTGCCACAGCCTGACCACACAGCTACCAAAAGCCACCAGCGTTGCACACGCAGGGTGCAATTACGCTCTTTTCTTTGTTGCCTTGGGGCCTTCATACTTACAGGGCACATACCCACACAGACAGACACGTGTCAGAGGATACACATCCTGTTTAGAACTTTTGCTTTAGGCAATAAAGGCACATCTTTGCAACTTTACTGTCATTTTAACATTTAAACATGTTCCTTTTTGTGACCTTTAATATTCAGTAGCATTTTGCTCACAGCTTGTACAACAGGAAAACTTAATAAATAAGAAGGATACAAAAAGAGCTCCACAAAGGATATGCACTTGATTTTCTTTTTGTACAGTCAGTACCCATTTGGAAAAATAAACTCTCCAGTGCACTCGTTTACTGTTTTGCTTAGAGCTCAATGGGACATTCTGTCCATGCAAGCTGAGCCTAAAGCTAGTATCTTGTTAGTTTAATTTAGCTTTGCAAAAGCAGCAAGCTTACTTACTAGCTTAATATTTATTTACGTAACAGGTAAGCTTTTATCTAACCACTTTTATTTAAGCAAACCGTGAATCATTACCCAACAATATCTCATCATCCCTGATGATTAGAGCCTGACTGATGTATCGGCAGGTCGATATTATCTGCCGATATTAACTATTAGCAAACCTGTTAGCATCAATGAAAAATCGACTGAAAATTATGAAAATAATTTAATTAATATGCAGACTAAATTATAATCATAAAAGCTCATTTGAAAAGTAACGAAGAGACAGGAGAAACATCATTAGAGTCAAGCACAATAGGCAGAAATCATTACAAAAAGGGTTTAGGTTAGCATAAATAAGACAGCAGTTTGTTTCTTAGATTTACAGTGTCCATGCTTTTTTATGCACAGCCACAAGAGGGCGCACTCCTGTTTTAGATATTTTTCTTAGTATTATTATTGTTGTTTTGGTTTTTAAAAAAAATCAGATTATTCCTTTTGTTAAACAAAACATTGTTCAAAATTTTACATTTCATTACCTATGCAAATAAATAACTAGGGTTTACATCTTCTGGAAAGGCTTGACTCACCTTGTTCGGACACCAGAGGGTCACACGATCCAAAGCTGATGGCCAGCAGAGCCAGAGAGGAGCAGAAAAGCCACATGGTTTCACTCCTCCAAAAAACACCACCTCACCTCACTCCAGCCACCAGCTGATGGATAAACACAGAGAAAAAGGGAAAGTCAAAAAAGTCAAATCCCTCCTTCATTCTGTCAACATGCCACCCAGTTTGCTTACTCTGCCGACAGCTGTGCATTATGCTTGACTCCTAAATAGACGTTGATGTATATTTATGAGTCAGTCACAGTTGATGTGTTAATTATGTAGTATGATGCGGGCTTTGTTAGTGGCATATGAATTAACCAGAATGGTCCTCATTAAGTTGTGTAACTCTATAAAGTCTGATCATAGTCATTATCCTGTCCATCTGGTTGGCCTTTGACTGGGCAGCTGCTACACACACTCTGACACATACATGTGAATATAACTAATATATATATATTTAGCCACATTTGACCATGAGCACATGCGCACATTAAGCACATTATTGACGCAAACAAAGCAGCAAATGCAAGACAACAAAGCAAAAGATGGACATGAAAGCAAAATGATTTACATGCAGGACGGTTGGTCTAGAGTCAAACAGACAGAGGGGCCAAAACACACAAACACATCTGGAGACTATTCCACTGGAGCCATTGTTCTGCTGTACCAGATGCTTCCACGTGGCCAAACAACAGGCACACAGACACACACACAAAGGCATGCATAGATTAAAATGCACGCCACGTAGAAATAATCATTATATCTTGGCTGCGCAGTCTCTCTCCCTTACTACAGTAGCTCATTTATAAACGCACACAAGAATGTACGTGCATAAACATGCTAATCCCGCCCACTTGCATATAACCCGGGTAAACACATCCCAGCTGACCTGGACTTGCCCTCGGCATGTGCTAGGACCCCATAATTCTGTAGTGTTTACAGGTTCAGCAGGGCCCTCAAGGCAGGCAGGCAAGCAGACTGTATCTCTGAACACACACCTGTGCTGTCTGCCAGGAGAAATGACCCCCACACTCCCCTGGGGCTACACAATGTGGCGTGTGAATACTATCCAGCTTGACCTGACTTCTGTAGCAAGCTGTTAAAAGACAATATGGTGGAGGATGGTGCTTCAAATTATGTTCTGGAGAAACAGAGACAGCCTGACCTGCCCCAGACTTTCATTTGAAGTATGCAGTCCACTTTGGGAGCCGTTGACTTAAGTAGTGTGGCTCAGTTCAAATACTCCACTTCGTATATTTTCATGTACCATAATATGTACACAATGTGCTGGTATGCACAGTTTACTGCGAAGAAATTTTGACAGGTTAGCTACATTAAACACTGTAAACTTGGAACTAAGAATACGAACGCTGTCAACTATAGCCAACAGGGGTGTTGCCAGGCCTGTGGTGCTTTTTCTTTATTTCATATTAACTAGTGAGTCAAACAAAATTCTGCTGCAGATACTAATTTTGGTGACCGTTAGGTGATGCACAGGTAATGTAAGCTGAACAAAACATGCGAAACAAACAGGGAACCTAACACTGTTTTGGGAATAACGAATACGAAAATCCCAAAGATTTTCATTTGTAAGAAATGCTTTTAAAAAACATATATATGTTAAAAATTGCTAACTATTGTTGAGAATACATACGCTACAATCAGTGTAGTAAGAAAAAGACGATGTTTGAAATATTAGACTTCGACGTCATGCTAGCTGCTCCATTTTCGTAACTATCGTAACTTACGTTATATTAAATTTGGTCCCACATACTACATTTTTCAGCAGGGACGATGGCACTATTAGGCACATAAATACCAAACAATATCATAATAAATTAACATAATGTATTTCCTATAATTCTTTTTTTAAACTGCTGCTGCTGTTAGCTTGCTAAGCTAGCACTGACGTCATCATTAATAGTGATATCATATGATGGTTTTGTTGACTAAAAATAGTTTAGTAGTCAAGACGGTAAGAGTGAACACAATTTGCTCTTAACTTTTTGGCCCATTCTGCGTACACCATCGTGCTCCTGGAGCAATTCATTTAGCCATGATGATAGGAACACTATTATGCATGAAATATTACAAATTCAAGTACCCTGAGACAGCACAGGTGTGGTTGCTTTTTCTTCCATATTTTTTATTTTAGGTTACCGGTTTATTTAAGAACCAAGGTCTTTGCAAGATCCTGTACAATTATGCTAAGCCACAAATGATCTGTCGGCACTACTGTTGCCAGCATGAGTACCATTAAGGTGAAACTATCTAGTTAGCTAAACGACAAGAAGAATACGTTAAAAAACGTGTTTTCTCCTGCAGCCGGATGGGTGGGAAGTTAATCAAAGCCTTAGACAGCTATGTTTGAGCAGTCTGAAGCTACAGCCATTATTATAGGCTTCATGCCACATGATCACAATAATAAGAAAGTTCACACAGTACATAATGCATAATGCATCACAGTCCACAGAACACAAGCTGGGGGAAAAGTTACAGCTCATTGCTATTATTATCTGGCCATAATCCAAAACAGTTTAATAGGTTTCCTGATATAAGTTGCTATGGATGTGTCTCTTTCCATTTCTGTCTCTGCACTGCATTCATAGCTTGCAATAACAGATACAGTAAAGCCAGGATGGGGTTATGCCACTGGGCTTGCCGCAGGCCCGGCCATGACTCGGTGAGCAGGCCTGTGAGTGATTGGGTCACTGGTTATGGATAAGACACAGGAAGGAAAACAGGAGCAGATGTCTTACTGTTATAGCTCTAAAAGCCGAAAGACAAGGAGTGACAGACAGAAGTAATGACCAGCATCCACAATCACAGCCCAGCCCAGTAGTACCAGTACTTTTTATGGATTTGAATACACATACAGAATGAGCCACTGACACAGTCTCACATAATAACCGAGGCTCTTGTGCTCAGGGCTTAGCAATTTTCACTGTCCTGCATTTCATCACAATTGCCACTGTTTACAGATGGAACAACATCTCTAGCACAAGCCTGTTTAGAGGAACACATTCTGACAGAGTTAAATGAAACATGTCCACTTTATGGCCTGACAAGAGAATTTCTTTTATTGCATATTAGCCACCCAGACATGGATGATTAAATAACAGTGATCCAATAGCCCACTGTTTAGAATAGTTTGCATCTGTTTAGATTGAAGAACCTGGTGTAAATGTGTCTGTCATTCACTATCTGAGGGTTCATTGCTTTTCCAGCTGTCTCTCACAGCATCCAGAAGCAAGAAGACTGATAGGGGTAGTTTACAATCTAGTCTGCTTCCAATCTACTCTAGGCTTTCACACAAGAAAACACAATCCAAGAGTGGTATTGCTGCTGAGTTGTGAAAGCAACTTCCTGATTGGCCGCCAGTTTGTCACCCTGGCTCAAAATCCTCAAGGGAAGTTCTCTCTGAGAAGAGGCTGTAGATGGAATTCAGCCATCAAACAGAAGCCCTGCCTTATCGGTCAGGTAGCCCGCCTGTGTGCATTCGTGTAAAGTACAACATGTGTTCTACAGAAGGCGAAAGGGGCTGCCATACAGAGTGGACAGACATACTGAATAGGAAGTCAACAGAGGCTCATTTATGCAGATGAGCACACACACAGTGACTCAAGCCATTTAACACCATGCTCCAGAAGCTACCGTTCAACAACACAATCACAAACTCAATTTCTGTTTACGAGGTGCTTCAAAATCAGCTCTGCTAAATGTTAGTGTGAGTAAGGTTGGTCAATTCTTATTGTGAGAAAACTAAAATAATTGTTGGGCTGCTGTGAGCCCTGCATTCCTCCAGAGAATGCATGGCTGAAAAAAACTAGAGTCTACTTGCCTAGAGCGTCTATAGCAGTTCTGCATAGCTGTAATACAGATGTTATGCTAAAATGCTGATTTAAATATTGATGCTTACTACATTCAATATCTTCATTTAGCGTGTACCAGTGAGATTTAGAACTAAACACAAATGCATGCAAGTAGAAATACACAACAGGAAAACTTTAACTTGGACCCTATAATGGTCATTTATGGTCAGATGGATCAGAGGGTTCGCAGTTTACAATAAGTTACTTCTGAGGGGAACATGAGTGTGTAGATCAGACCAGTCATGGATCAGTCATGGGAATCCATCTGGTGGTTTTTCAGACTCCAAACCACAAATCTGAACCTTATGCTGAAGCAAAAGGGGAAAAAGGCAAAGTCATCAAAGTCTGGGATTCACCCTCTAAGTAAGGTTTACATTTCTCTCAATGTTTCTGACCTGAATGCAGTTCTAAGTACACTCATAGGTTCAAACAATACTAGTTACACTACTGCTGGATGTCGACGTCGGTCAACATGCTGTTTCCCAACATGCATTTTGCTTTGAAGACATGAACGTGCACACTCTGTATCTGAAAGTTTTGACCTTCTCACAAACTTGTTTTAACTTTAAATAAAAGTAGCTGAAGTGGGCCCCGAGGGCTTAACACTCCAAATATCAACTGACTCCGAGCAAAAACCTTCAAACTAGCGAAGGTAATATCCAAACCTGTGTAACACTGAAAAGAGACTGAGGCAAGTTTTTACTAGTCTTACATTCTGGGCAGTGTTCAAGGGCTTTATTTGAATATTTGCTAGTGTGAATCAGACCAGGAAAGGAACTGAGCACTAAATACATAAAACTCTTTCCTGTGATTGCTCAGGGCTACCTGGAAGTTCCAATGCCACGGACACCTACGGCCCTTTTGCAAACGCAACGAAGCAAAGTTAGTCCTAATCTGATGACATGACCCGGTTGGCTCCTAGCCCATGTTGTGGATGAAGTCAGCCTGGAGAGAGCAGATGACTTGCCGATTTTCTTCAGCTTGACTTTACATTTCCGCCTAATGTTCACTTCACAGCTGAACTGAATGAGCAAGGAGTCAAGGAGATGATACAATTTCCTGTAGGCCCAACAAAAGCTGGTATGGAAGATATACGTGGGAGAACATACCGCCCTGTGGCCTACAGCTATGCATTGCACAGACAGCCTCCAGCAGGTTAAGTGAGCAACACTTAATGGGCATAGATTTGTAACGTTTGTAACAGGGCTATGAGGAGACTACTGGTGGTAGGAGAGTTCTGTTACATACCAGGGTTTCCAAGCTTACATGTGCAAGTTTCTTTTAGTTAAAATGACCCTTAAATGAAACCAGAATCCTACTTGGACAACGTGGAAGTGTGGAAAATGTTCCACATTTTGAAGGAGGAGGGTGAAAACAAAAAAAGAGTAGGAGGATTTATTTTTTAATGTGAGTCGTGGGGTGCAGAGAGGATGCAAAATCCAGCAAACATGGGGGATAGCTGAGTAATTAGGAAAGCAGATGTTACTGTGGTATTCAAGCCCCCACTCCTCTGCCGTTCATTTTCTTTCCCAAGAAGTGAAAATAAGTTTTAGAGACCGATCCGAGATCATTCCAAAGCTGATTACTTTTTTCGAATGATATGCATGTAGTGGGGAAAAACCCCCAGTGTACTTAGGAGGCTTTTCCATGCCACAGGGGGTTGGATGCCATCCAAACAAAACAGCAACACCTCAGCCGTTCTGTGCCCATGCCTGGCTTATTAGATGTGAAGGAAAAATCAGCATCACTTTTGCCAGGAGCTAGTCGTTTTCTTGCAAAATCCAATAACGGAATACTAGCTTACTACAACTACACGAGTCAGAGCGGCCGAGAACATACAACTTTAATGATCTCCGCTGAGAGAAAGCAACTTTAGAGTACTTTTGCTCAGTATCCCAGATTGTTGGTGTTTGGTACACCCCGCAGTATGGTATCCCCATGTGACGTTGCCCACTGTAAGCAGTCTTTGCTGCTACAACACTTCCATCACTAAAGTTCCGCTGCACTTCACTAACTTGTCTTTAAATCTCCGGCGGATGTGGCAAAAAAAAAAAGCATCGCTTTTTAAACGAAAAGTTAAAACGACAGAGAGCATGTAAAATCCTTACCTTCAATTTCTGATAAATCCACAAGTTTGCGACCACATTAATCCGCTGTTGTGCGTGTATAGATCCAAGGTCCGGTTTGGGAATCCTGCAGGGCGATGCAAATGCAGACAAATGTAATCCAGCCTAGTTTTTGTCCCCTTGCCTTTTTTTTTCCTTGAGTCTTCTTCCACAGAGAAAGGAAAGAGGGAAAAAAAGTTACAGCAAGATTAGCCGTGTCCAACTTTTTCCCCCTCCCCTTTCTGCTGATCCCAAGTGTCTTTCTCCCTCTCTCGCCTCCTCTTTGCTCTCTCTGTTGTCTGTCTCTCGGTTTCTTATTACTTTTTTCCTCCCCTTGGTCTCTGTCTATTCCTCCAGCCTGTCTCTCTTCCAGTCTCCCTCCAACACCCCCCCTTACCTCTCCTCTCCTCTCCTCTTTCTCCCTGCTCTCTCCTTCTCTCTTTGCTTTGGGAGATCTCTCTCAAACATGTGGTGACATCAACTTGTCCACAAGGCTGGAAAATAAGCCCTGGGCATCTCTCTAATCTTTTTGGCAAGCTGTTCCAGGCCTCTCTACCCTCTCTTTACCCTCTACCCCCATCATCTTACCTCCATCTCCCCCTCACCTCTTACTATTTGATTCATGACATACCAGAAAAACAGACTTTCTATTCTGCCTGGGTTAAAGCACTGTATTAGGAAAAGAAATGCAGATTAGGCTCTCCTGGTTGGTGCATTATGGAGAGGAATTTACTCCATTAAAATTAATGAACTTACTTATCATACTTACTTATGATTGAAGGCCACATCCACAGCTTCCATATTGTTTTATCACTCGCTTTTATTGCATCCAATCCATAAAGTGGCCTCGGTTGGAGCCCCTGACCATCCAGAAACACCAGTCCTAACAGCCACATAAATTCCACCTTTATTGTCAATAAGTAAATAGTTCAGGAGGCGAATAAATATCACTTTGTCTTTTGATTTATGCGTACCTCCCTTCAGATGGTATGGAAGAATATGTAGAGGACTGTGCTCACATCTACAAGATATTTATTTCTGTCCTCTGTTGAGAGGTCAACATCTCTACTGAGTAGTTATCTTTAACTCTCTCATTAGCTTTTACCCCTAGTTTAAAAAAAACACAATAAAGGAAAATGTGAAAACTCTCTAAGTAGCATCCATCCACTCAAATTGTTTCACTTCTGTCTAATGAAGCTGAAAATGCTTTGAACTAGATGCTTACCCAGAGGTGTCCTCTTTGAACTAAAAACACTGGTGGAAAGCAAGGTCATTCAGCCACTACCAATGGGGAATCTGGACAAATGCGTGCATATGTCTTTGTATGGTTTGACGGCATAAGCAAAGAAAGAAAGGAATTGAAAAGGTGTGGCTTCCCCTATTTTACAGAGCATGTTGACAAATGATGTGTTGAAGTTTGGCTCTGACCAGACAATAAAAGTTAATCTGATGAATCTCCCTATCCTGACATATTACCCAACCTCCAGGGATGAGTCAAAATGTTAATGATGTATTGCTCATCCAGTTCAATCCATCACAGTTCATGACTTATTGCAATGTGTGAAGTGCAGGAACAAAGTAAAAGGCTTTCTTGTCATTGCCTGGCTGTGTTTCACAGTCTAAGTAGAATTTAAATCTACAAAGAAGTCAAAGAGGCTCCCCAAATGTGTCATGTCCAGGACCAAAAGTGTTCAAGTTCAGCAGTATTATGACCACATGGTCAGTCGTAACCATGACCATTAAAAGCATGAAAATATGTTGACACATCAGCATGATGCTAATATAATGGTGATAGAATGGCCCCAACCAACCATACCTTGGTGATCTGCAAATCAACCAACAGGACTACTGCCAACAGGCAACAAGTGGTTACAACATATGGCAAAGATATATTTCAAGCTATCTTATAACTTGGTGTTTCGTGAAGTCCGTTCTTTATCATATTGCACATGCAAGTTTTGGTGAAATTTTTAAGTACTATGCATGAAGGTTATCCTGTGAAAATGTGAAAAAGTCCCTTTCAAATCACTTTTGTTGAAGATCATAAGGTGATTGTATACATTTATTTGTAACTCTTGCTGTAATCTGACCATTTCTGTAGATGCAGTAGTGATTCTTGTGAAATGTGATTAGATGGACAGTAGGATGGAAACACAATGGGCACCTCACAGTGGCTAGAGTTCACTGGTGTTTTGGCTGGTATGCTAAAAAAAGTCAGTGTTGAAAGCTGCAGTTCCTCAGAGTTCCACGGCAACAAAAGCAAGTCAGTTCCCATAAAATGTTTTGTTAAAATTCCCCAAATCACAGCAGAAACAGACACGTTTAGAGCTTGGTACTACAATAGGAGCTTACAATCAATTTCCTCTTGTTACGTTCCATCTAGGGGGCCAAGACATGAAAAGGAATTCATTTTCAACTTGCAAAAAAAGAATAAATGTTACAGAAAATTAAATCATTAGTGGTCATTACACCCACTTTCCCAAGATTAAAACATCCTCCCGATAATGGTTAATTCAAGAGTGAGGAAACACTGATGGGTTACAGTCAATAGAAACAAAGAGATGATAAAATAGACCTAAAGGACACTTCATCTCCTTTTCAATACAGCGCTATAAATTAGCTAATGCTTGAACTTTAGAGAAGCAGAATGGGATTATCTAAGCCCAGAAGCACTTGAAGTTTGAAAGGCAAGTGGAATTGGGTTCAAGTAGAACTATGGCGCGACACAGTGCTTTTCTTCTTCATCTTTGTTTTTGCATAGTTGTATCACATGTTGCTGACTCGTTTTATCACTGATTCTTTGGTTACACTTGGTGATAATGGACACTGGATAGGAAAACTCCAAAGCAGCCATGGATGATTTCTATATTTAAATATTTGTCACTCATGTCTCACATCATCAAAAAATGTAATATTAGTGAAAGAAAACCGAAGTTAAAACAAAATGCAGTTTTTAAATGATGATTTGATTTAGTATGGGAACAAAGCCCTCCAAACCTACCTGGCCCTGTGTGAATTAACTATGATTTAACAGGTTTTGGAAAGCTGAGCTCAATTTCACTAACCACACCGAGGCCTGATTAATGCCAAACCTGTTAAATCAAAAAGTCACTGAAACAGTGTTGCATCTTCCTATGAGTGTCAAGCCAAAATTACTCCAACAGTGCGTTGATGACTCATGCAGGAGGTCACCAAAAAAAATAAATCCAGGGCAGCATTTAAAGACTGCAGGCCTCATTTGCCTCAGTTAAAGTCAGAGTTCATGAGACTGGGAAAAATTGACATCCATGGTAAAGTTCCAAGGAGAAAACCGCTGCTGACCAAAAAGAACACAAAGCCTTGTCCCAAAAAACATCTTAATAATCTTTTTGGAAATTTTTTTTTACTGATAAGACAAAAGCATCTGGCACATAACTAGCACAGCGTTTCATAAAAGTACAACAATAGTCATAAATGGTGGTGCTAGTGTGATGACCTGGAGCCGTTTTATTGCTTCAAGAACTGAACAACTTGCTGTGATTGATGGAACCATGAATTCTGCTCTCTGT